TTTTAATGTGTTTTTGTCCGTTTTTTGGTATTATTGAATTGGCAAAAAATATTCCTTAATCTATTTTTCTATATAGTACTAAAGCGTCGATGTCTATTTTGATATTTATGGGGACTATGGTTTCGCATCTCGGAAGAAATATGCTGTTTTTATTAAGTATTTTATCGTATATGGGGAGTTGAATTTGGTCGTCGTGTGTATTAACTGTAAGAGAGAAATTTTCGTAATTTATATTGCAAGCATGCTTGTGTAGGAAATCTCTTCCTATGATTCCATCGGTTTTTATCGGGAAGTTCTGGTTTACTAGTTGTATTTTATGTTGAATGATTCCGTTTCCTAGATTTATGTACAAATGTGTGGTTCCCATTGTTTCTATACGTTCGTTGGTTATTCCTGTTAGCTTAATACATTCTGCGTTGTTTAGTGGGTAGTCTTCTAAAAGGTGTGCTTTGCAGTGGCTGATGTCTGCTCCTGTGTTTAATAGAAATGAAGTTCTGTTTTTGTTGAATTTTTAATATCTAGTAATATATAGTTTGATAGTTTTGAGAGGGAAAAGATATGGGAGTTGGTTTGTTTTGTGTATTCGGTGGATGCCTGGTTTAAGTGTTTTGTCCCGAATTCCGGGGCATCATTAAGGAATTCGGGTGAAATCCGTTTCCCTGGTCTTCAATTGCGTGTAAGCGGTGATTTTGGTTGTTGTTTCTTTGATTCCTGTTATTATTTTGATTTCGATAGTTGAAATTCCTGTTATTTCTATTAAAATTGTTGTTATTGTTGTTGGTATTGGAATTATTATAATTATTGCTATTAAAATTGTTGTTATTATTATAATTCCTGTTTTGGTTATTATATTCTTGATTGTTTCTTTTTGGATTATTATTATGGTATTGCTTTGTGTTGTTGTTAGTGTATGAGTTTCTGTTGTTGTTGTAGCGATTGTGTAAATTTTTCTTTAAGTAATTTATTCTCATTACCTGGGAATTTGTTTGGGTCGCACTCTCGTATTGTAGCGCAATATTAATTGCTTCCGAAAAGGTTTTTGATTGGGCCGCAAAGATAGTGGGTTTAATATAGTCATCGAGACCGTTTTTGAATATGGTTAGGGCGTACGTATCGTTGATACTAGTAATGACGGAATGACGGGGTTGGGACCTAGTTCTTTGATTTGGAGATTATTTAGATCTGCTATTATGTGTATGTTCAAGTGTGGTTTTTAATTCTTGTAGTGTTGTTGGGATCTCATTTGCAAGGGCGGTTTGGACGTTTGAGGATAGTTTGCAGTAAAAGGTATATTCTTTTAGTTGTGGTTTGGCCTCTTCTTTTAGGGTTCTGTATATTATTTCAACAACTTTGAAAAAGCAGTTGATATCTTTATAATTGCCGGTGAAAGTGGGTATAGATTTGGAAGCTGTTTCTAAGTTAAAATCCATTTTTGGTTATATTATATTATCTGTTTTGCTGGGGTTTATATCTTCTAGAGGATTTTTGTTTTTTTTCAATTTCTAATGCTTCTTTTGCAATTTGATATTTCTTCTTAAATGTTTCTATTTTATTTATTAGGTCTGGTTGCTCTGGTTTTGTATTAGTTTCTACTATGGTACGGACTCTGGTTCTATAGTTTTCTAACTCTTCTAGTTTGCTATCGATAGTTTCCTTTTTATATGTTTTGCTTCCTAGCTTCTTAAGGTTGGAAATTATCTTATCTATAAAGATGTTGATTTCATCTATTCTTTCCATTAAAAATATGTATATGTTTTTTTTTTTTTTTTTTTTGAATTTATGTATTTAAGTTTTCAATATGTGTTTGTATCTTTTGATATTCTTACAATGTATTTAATTAATTTTCTTTATTCTAACATTTCTAAAAAAAATCTTTTTTTTTTTTTTTGAATTGTTCTGTTCATCTTTTAAAGAAAAAAAAATTTTTATTTTTTTTTTGACATATTTTTTAATTTAGGGTGGGATTATTGTCTGGTCGGCTGGTGTGGGAGGTGTGTAGTATGTTGGTAGGATCTGAGCTTCTGTCTCGAAGTTTGACTGTTGTCCTCGGGTGGAATTGTGTGTAAAATTTGTTTGGGCGGAATCGAAAATTTTGGCTGCCTTAGAGGAATCGTGTTGGGAAAAATATTTTTTTTTTGGAATAATAAAAAAATTTTTGCTGCCTCAAAAAAAAATAAGGGCAGGTTACTGCGTGGTTTGCAGGATCGCCATGTAATAAAGTTTAAGGCTGTTTAATGGTGAAGCGTTCAAATATTTATGTTTAATATTTGTTTAAAGTAACTGTTCCCGAACTTCCAGTTTAAAACTTTGTTGTAAGTTAATATTAAAATAATAAGTTAGTATTGAATAAATAGCGAAGCGTAATAGTCGACGGCCGGAATTAAAAGTGTTAATTAAAGAATACGAAAAAATTCCTTACATCATACGAATAACAATAAGGTGCGATAAAGTTTATAATTGTGGGCCGCGGTCCACTATTGTGTTTTTTCTTGTTTTGAGTTATAAACAAACTTACTAATAAATCCGTTATATATTGTATTTATTTAACATTGTTAAAAGCCCAGAATATTTAATTTAACATATAATAAGGGCGCTTTTTTGAATTATATGTCTGTTTTTGCCAATGCTTAGTGGTGAAAATTCCAAGTTTACAATATATATTTGTGCTTCACAACTCATGTATCAAGGACTATTTGTTACTTGAAATATTTAATAAAATATATAAAAAAATTACCTATTAATCGACGCTAATAAACTACCAGTTGCTTATCATTTACACAAATGAAGTGTTTACATCTTCTATCCTAACTTTAGTAAGCGTACTAATGCTGTCTTTGTCCAAGTCGACGTTATTAGTTGAAAGTAATTGAAACGTGGAATAAGAATGCGGTTATTCAGGGAAGTTGGATGTACGAATATTGAGTGAAAGATAAACACTGTAAACATCTTAACTGATGAAAAGAAGTTAGCAATATAAATTTTTTAGATTTATTATATTGAAAATTTTGAATAATTTTTATTATATCTGCAGTTTCCGTAACTGTATGATTATTTGAAACATATTTGCTAATAGTTAGAGTTTCTCGGAAAGTACAACTTATTGTAAAAGAAAGAGCTCTATTAAGACATAAAAATAAGTAATTCCATAAGTTATTCCTCTTAAGCATAATTTGTGCTTTGATCTTTTCATATAGTCAATTATATGTTCGTTTATCATAAGTCACCCATTGGCCTCTATAAGAACTACGGAGTGAGATCAACGTGTTAAGTATACCATAGGCCTCGTTAATAATATTCTGAAAGCAATTTATTGCTGTGTCAATAGTGTGTCAATTAAACAGCACGAAATTAAATCTTGCTTGTACAATATGATTTACAATGTTTTTGAAAAGCCAACTATTCATTCCCTTAAAATCGCAAATTCAATTACAAAAAAATTTTGCTTTAGCTCTTTTAAAGTGCTAGATTGCCTTGTAAAACAATGAAAAAGTATTGGAATCCTGGTCTTGATTGGTCGTGTGAAAGACTTAACATCAAGCCCAGCTAAAAAGAAGCACTTTATAATGCCAGTCCTCCAAGTAAAAGTAAGTCAGAACATTGTAGTGTGGCAAGACCGACCATTAAATACCATACTCCGCATTGTGTAACGCAATTATTATTTTTATTACAGAACGCAAAAATTAAAACTTTCTATTTAAAAGCGTATTAAAGTCACAGATTTCTATATAAAGACGTATTTTTCATGTGCCTATTTCTGGGAAAACGGGCCCAAAACGCAACGTACTGTAGTACAAGTTTAACCCTTACATGGGGCACAATCCAGAAATAGGTGTAGATGGTCTAAATTTTGTAGAGTTCATTTTCGTATAAAACTACTATAATATTATTGTTATATATATCAATTTCGATCATCACATATTAAAACTGAGACTTTTCTACTCTACAAAGATTCAATTTTCATGAAAAGCCTTATTAGGGTTAGAGCCAAAATATAGGCTGAGATAGTCCAAATCTGGTACAGTTCATTCTTTATGTTAAATTACTATTATAATTTAATTTTCATCATGAAGCATTGAAAATTGAAACCTTTTTGTCGTATGAACTTTCGTTATATGAGAGGGGATAAAAAATTGCCCCAGCCGATGCAAAGTTTTCATATCAATTTATAATACCAAAAGGCTACTACTTAGCCATTTTCTCCGAGCAATTTTGAAAATTTTCCCCATATAACCACTTTTTGGAATAGGGCGGTTATAAGAGGAATGATCGAAAAAGTAGAACAATGCGAACCATATTTAATATCGTTTGTCCTTCGGTCAAAACACGCCGCTGTGGTAAATTTCATTGAAATATCTCTAAAATTGCGATCTGTAGCTTAACCAGAACTTTACATGGCCAGACATCAGATGGACGGACAGGCTTAGCTCAATTCAGATTATGATTTTGAATCGATCGATATAATAATAGATGGGTTCATATTAAGCCCTGCGTGTTACATACGACCGCATCAAGTTATTACGTACAGTGTACGGTGTACTAAAAACCATAAGAGGCATCCTAAAATGCAAACAATCAAATGAAGTTATACGATAATACTTTTCTATTCAAGAACGCGATTATATTGATGTTTTAAATTTGAACAGTGTTCTTTGTAAAAAGAATCAAGTTCGTTTTCAATACGTTTAACAGCAAATATTTTTAATATGATGACGATCAAGACTTTTAACGTCTATGAACTAACAGTTTGCGTCACATGTCTCTCTATGAAAAATTAAATTTATGAAGCTTTGAAACCTATTGTGGAAATAATATAGTATAAGCAGTCAACATGGGTGTCGCAAAGTCAATTACAAATAATTTTTATTACTATAGCAACACATTGTATATAAGTTTTCTTAGTATATCATAATAATATTATTAGTCCGTTTACCTTGTTTTATTTTTTCTTCACTATGTTTTCTGTTCATAAAATCGTATTCTGCTTACATGTTTCTCATTAGGATCGCGAACAGCGAGCTTCAGTCTCTACACTAGCATCAACTCCAACTAATCAAACTCATGCAACGTGTACAATACCATCGCAGGAATCGATTCAAGAGGAACCAGAGGGAGATGCTATTGAAGGTTTTACATTTACTCAGCATCTTCAGCAGCAGATAGGAGTAAAAAATGAAACACCTCCTTTGATTGGATTAAAGCTAAAAGTAAGTGAAAAATTACAAGAAAATTAAGGCATCTCAACGTCTTGTTCACGCAGACATCTTCAAATTGCAACAAACACAACAACGCAGCTAATACTTCCATTTTATCGGTGGCGCAGATTAAGCCCATTATGAAAGTTTCGTTTCGAAAAAATTTAAATGAAGTAAAGCAATGTGCAGCGGACCGTAAAATAGCGGAGGCTAAGAGCATGATGGTCATGAATGCACTACCCAAGAAACAGCCGCCCAATACTTTGCTTATAACGAAATCTCACATTATCGAAGAGAGAGATGCGACGGCAGAAAACGGTGCGAGCGGCAAATCGTATAAACCAATTGCTACCATTTCAAATAAGATTGATAAGCTGCCACCTGCGAAGATATCTGTTTTATCTGATTTGGACACGCCAACTAAACCGTGGTCCAAGCTTAAAATAGCAACATTATCATCCAGTTACACAAGCTTAGCGACATCACATACGTCATCCGAGGATGTGCACTCTCCGGTGAGAAATCGTTCTCCAGAAAATATAAAAAATGTTATTTTGAAGCAAAACCAATCCAAGTGTTGCGAACCCTTAACTTATTCTACACGACGAAAGCTGATGAATAATACATCAAAAATGCAAGATAGACTAAAAGTTCAATCTTTGAATAGAGCTAAATTTTACCAATCCGTATTTGATTTGTCTCCTGAATATAAGAGATTGCCGTTTGTTAAACGTCTAAAAATTTTAAATGAACGTCAAAAAATAGCAGAACTTGAGAAAGATTTACAAGTGAGAAGTTTCAGTTTGGACGACCCAAAGTTGATTAGAGGCCTCTCGCCCGCTGGGAAAATTTACCGTTGCCAAAGTGATACGTCAGGCATCAACACACAAACTTTATTGGCATATGATTCCAGTTCCACCACTTCAACGAATACATCAACGTCCGAAAATTCCAAAAAGGTCTCATATCGCATAGGTCGAAATCGTTTCAATATTTTGGAACAGAACTATTTACCACTCAGTCCAGATAATAATGAACCAGAACGAAAACACCTGAAGAGCATTTTAATGAAATTTAATAAAACTACAGACCGCCAAAAGCAACTAGAAATTAATGAGAAGCCTTCTGAAATCACATATGCGTCACTGCAGCCTTTTGGCGTCTATTCGAGGGAACCTACTTTAGAAGGGTATGTGTTTAAAAGAAATATTAGACCCGAAAACTATAAGCATTTATGCCGCATGAAAATTTCGCAAATTAGTTTAAGGAAAGTTCTGAGCACTCTTTTAAAAGGCTTACTTTGTTTTAAAAATAAAACGATTTTAGAATAGTTTTCTATAAATGTAATCTCTGATTTTTCAGACTTTTATTTTATATTTCGCTTGTACCGAAGGTATCGTTTTGATGTCTTCCCCCGAATGATTAAACCTACTTCCGCAAAAAATAAAATACACGTATTACTTTTATTCCAATCACAGCGGCATAGGTTTGTGAAACATTTTGAACTCATAAAACTATACACAATCGTAGACACTCAAAGGTATATGTATATATAATACTTAAAAAACGATTAGCGCCAATAGCGACATATATTTTTCTAATCTATCCACCTATCGTGCGTTCGTCTACAGAAGTTACGATCAGTTACTGCTGTCAAATAGCTGATAATTTTCCTCTCTTTTCCTAAACTGTACCCTATAAATTGTGGTTTTTTAATTGAGATGAACAAGGATTTACCTTGTAACACCAAGAAATCAGAAACCACAAACTACATAATTACTTTGCATCGCAATTAATCTAATATTCGAAATGCATTTACTCATTTCGCCCCATTTATGCGGACATCGTGCCATCTGTTATATAAGGAACAAAACTTCAAGTTAGCTCTCGATAAGTTCCTTACCAACAAATTCATGTCTATGGGAGTTGGCAAGAATAAACTTAAGGAGTTCCTTAATAAACTCGTTTTCTTTATACGTTGTAATCCTTGTTCCTCGAATGCATGGCTCTCTTAACTTCTAACCGTCAACTATTAGCTTCAATAATCTTTATGGTAGATCCTATGTAATTCTGGTTATTGTAATAATTAATTTAAGCACTTATCCGCGATGGCCTATCATGGACCCACAGTCTAACAATCTTGCGTACCATTACTTGCAAGAAAAAGCCCGTCTCATAGGATTTTATTAAAAACGGAGCATTAAGTACCGAACACACATCGCCCAAGAAAAGCGACAGTAGAAAATAACTAATCTTTAATAATTGGCATTGCTTCATTTGGAAACACTTACTTACGGATGACCCTGTATCTACACTAACGTCCTTCTGTTACACTTTACTGCAAACTGCAGGCTGTAATTGCTTTTATTGATATATCTAATATATCTTTACTATGGACTATTAAAAGACGGATTATAATATCCAATTGCTTAATATATGTAAAGATAACGGCTTAAATATATTTAAATGTTCAGCTTCCTTTTAATTTTTTATCGTTTTTACAAGTGTTTCCAGCGGGTTCATTAAATGTTTAATTTAATCTGTGAAATGAAAACAAAAATTCTATATGACAAACAACACCATACGATTCAAATTTAAAAATATCTAAAAGGAAGCTTTCGATAGAATTGGGTTTGCTACATATGGATTAGTTATTATAAAAACGAAAACATTTAGAAGGGACTTGAATTTGGATAAGTAAGTCCTTTTCCATTTCAAAGTCATCATAAATATTTTAAATATTTTATGCTTATATGAATTTTTTAAAGAAAATGATAGATGGCCGCTCTTTGCTAAGATGGCTTGGAACTATATTATTATAAAGGTCACATTTCCCATTATAATTGCCGTCATTTCTTAAAAGTATGCATAGCCTTCAAAATAAACATTATGTATTGATTTCGCATTAACTATCTGCCCGTTGTATAAAGAAGGTAGGCTTGACAATTGTAGAGAGTATGTAATATTCATTACTGATTCATTTTGAAAATTCTTAATGTAATATTATTAGGAAAATTGCGTGAATTCAAAAACATTGTACATTTTGAGTGCATATTATACAAATTAAGTGCAATATACAAGTAAGTGCATATGAAATATGTATGGCATTTTCAAGCACAATAAACCATATCATTAAAGTGACGCAGGTGGTGTAAACGCCATGACTGAAATGTGAGTTTTATTGCGAAACGTTGTATTCGCTCTAGTTCGTGCTCATTTTTTTTATAATTATAATAACAAATTTTTCGTTACATCTAAAAACGTCCTTCCAAACATCTATAACGTAATGCAATATGGACTGCTTCCCTAATATGCGCGTTGCCTAAGGATATCAACGACTGGGATGATAATGGAATCTGTGCCTGCGTTAGTCACTAAATATTTATTTTAGCGTAGTAGAAAATTTGTATGTTAGACAATAACAAGTAAGAAAATAAATTCGGTTGGGACCGAATATTTTATATTTATCACTGTTGTTTAAAAAAAAAACAAAAGAAGTAAAAAAAAAATGTTGATCCTCTATAACATGGAGTGGGCGCAGACGATTTCTTGTATTTTCGAAATAATAATATTCCAATAAAAGTATTTCAGTAAAAGAGCTTTTATCGAATTGACATGTGGGCATTATAGGTGAGTCTTTTAAAAAGTTTAGGTCAACTCCACGTTCTTTTGTAAATTTCTCTCGCCAACTGGAGAATGGTTACCACCAATACCACAAAGTTGCCCAAACAGACAGATGAACCGACGAACAGAGGCACATGTTTAGGTGCATACCAAATTTGAAACTGGCCAAGGTTTTGTATAGTTTGTGGAGTTTCTAAAGCTGATGAATGCGTGTTATAAAGGTATTGAAATAAAAAGCCAATCTTGATACATTATAATATTGGGGAAGCGTGTTTGATTTTTTCCATTTTTGTGCGCAAATGCTACAGTATAGAATATGCGTTCAAATTTTTGAGCATTTACTTGCTATAGTTCATGAGTAATGAGCAAAAAAACAAATTTTCTTTTCTCGTGGAAAGCAGAGTAGTTTACGTGATGCTGTGGGCGTGCCCTTCCTCCGATGTAGCCAATTTTCAATGCCTAGCTGCGTGCAAAAACTTTCAATATTTGTGCCAAATTTGAAGTCGATAGCTTCATTTTTGCGGCGAGCAGAATTTTTACAATAGAGCCTAAACCGACTTAGATTTTGATGCTGATCAAATCCCTTTCTACGGTCTCTGATGCTTCTTTGTAGACGTTGCAAATGTTCTGAAAAAGTGAATAGACCACTCACCATTCGGTGATGGGTATAAAAATGTTAAACACTTATCAATGTTTTGTTTTGCATTGTACAATAAATGGACACATGTTATTGATGTCTTAGAGAGCAGGCAGTATTACAAGTCCATGCATTACTGCCAAGCTAAAGGCAGGGTTAGGGAACAGTGAAGTGAATTACTTATCTGCCTCTCGATCCATCGTAGTTGTTGGAGTACTTTCGTTTCAAAGTTGATTACGATGTCCTCGTTCGACAATTCGCATTTTCGACCATTCCCGTAAGTACTGTGTAAAGCTTGTGTTTTATTTGTACCTTGGCTTGGCTAACCCAGTAACAGTCACAAACAAATAAGAGAACATTTATATATATAAAAATGAGAGTTAACGGCGTGTCTTATCTAACAGTCCTATAGTCCGTTAGTTTGTGGCTTTTTCCGTTAGTCTGCACCTATGTATTTGTTGGTCGGTTACGTCATTGTCTATGGTTACATTCCTACGCACACTCACACACATACACACGCTTATACTTCATCGTCGCGAAATCTATTATATATTTAGTTCATGATCTTTGTCGCTTTTTTTTTCTATTACTACTTCCTAAAACTAACGCTATTTATTTCTTACTTGCTGTGGTCCTCTATCTCATTCCTTTCTCTTCATAATGCCTTCTCGTATTGCTTGCTTGACGCCATCATGTGGTTCCTTGCATTTTGTAAAGCTTTCCATTGGTTCCCTTTCCGATTAAAACACTTCATTGACACCACTATTTGCAGATTCTTCTTTTTATGTATATATACCCGTTTTCAGAAACTCACCAATTTTAGATATAATATGCTTTTATTAGGTTTAAATGTCAACATAAGAAATTTTTATTAATACATTTTTCGTAGGACTAGTTTTAATTACCATTTTTGGTAAAACGTTTGCTTAGTTAAATTTGAGTGCTAATTTCCAGTTTTAATGATACGGTTTTACTTAGGATTAAGCTGTCATTTACAATAGTGTGGCTTTACTTGGTGTTGAGTTTTAATGTGAACTTTTTACAAACTTTTCGTTCATTCTTTGTTTCTGATTTTTAAAATTTGAAAAAAAATATTTGTAAAGTCAATTTATTCACAGTACATTAATTCAACGAACTTATACAACTTTCTTTGCAAGTTAATATAATAAAGTTTACTTGAATTTTTAATAATTATTTTGTCAATTTTACATTAAGTAACAGTCTGAACATTCTAACTAGTCTCGTTGGTTTCCTTTTTCTTTCGGAATTCCATTATCATGAATAATGTGGACGTAAAAGTACTTATACGGTTCCGTTCTAGGCCACCCATACGTTATATGTTGGCGGCAATTGAACTTAGAAACCTCAGCATCCTCTTTCGTGATCGCACAGTTCATATATGTCGTTGAGCTACCATAACGAGACTGTATAGAGAGTGTCGAAAACAACGATCGTCGCTAATAAACTCCATGAGATAGCTTACTACAGCAAGTGGACTTTCTGTCTAGTGTGATACTTTCGACGTGAGCGAGAAGGGACAACTGTCTAGTGTGATACTTTCGACGTGAGCGAGAAGGGACATCTGTCTGTTGATACGCTCTCCCATCCCGCTTACCGCCAAAGAAGGTTCTAATGTCAGTTTCTTTTCGTGGATGCGTCTCATGTTAACCATCATACTGACCCATAACAGGCGTGGGTGCAGCAAAATTGGGATAACCACCATTTTCCTAATGGTAGTTCTAGGTCGCCTAATCATTGGCATTATTATTGAAAAGATCGGCTAGTTCGTAGTTGCCTTATCTGCCGCATATTCTATTTTCTTTTGAAATCTTAGTCGATTGTCGATTATTGCTACGTGGTATTTACTGAAATAGCCGAAAGCGGGATGATGTGGTTTCCAATTCGTATACGTATGTAACAGGGTTTCG